CTCCACGACTTCTGCAGGGAAAGGCTCTGAAAAGGAAGGACCTGTAGCGGGAAGATCCCTCCTGCTGCAGAAATGCAAGGCGGCCACAGGTACGTGTTGGCAGAAGCGATGCAGAGCAGTGTTCACGGGCGGTCCCAGCTCCTGGTACTGCGCAGCTTTCACAACCCTTCCTGCACGCTCAGGAATCAGACGGGTAGTCTGCAGCCCTGGAAAAGTGGCATGGACACTGAAATGATGGCATGGAAACATTCTCCTTTATCTTTTAGACTGATTAGGAAGAAAATATGTATAAGGGGACTTAAGAAATAGTTAATGGTTACGTTGGCGTATATGAGTTGTAAGAGCATGAAACCCTTTCCTGGTGCTCTCGCTCAGAGATACTGTATAATGTTTTTAACTTGCTGTCAGTTAAAATGATGAACGTAGCTACAGTTATGAAGCCCTCTTTAAGTGCACTAGACTGCTACTTTTTAAGTAGTTTTTCCTTTACCAATGCAGGTAAGCCCAAGTTGGCGTAATTTTATAGCGTGGGTTAGCTTTATAAGTACACATCCAGAAATGAGTTGCCACACGCATACTCCACAGCACGGCATCTCCGAGTCTTGTTTGTGGAAGGCTGCTCTGTGCACTGGATATAATACCAGGGTTTGCATAACAAAATGAATGTGTAATGCAATACTTCTTATGTTAAATAGAGCATAATGTGCCTTCATTATACAAAGCTACAAGGAGAATCCAGCATCATTGTTTAATTCAAACCTGAGTGGGACTTCTGCAGTTAAAAATGGCAAAGTCCACTTGAGACTACTGGGGGTTAAAAAATAAACTTCTGTACAAATATTTGTTCACTTGTTTTTTAAAGGACTTCTTTGTGTGTTTTCCACACTAAAGAGATACTCTTTTTTTTCTTAACAGGCATTGCGTCTGGAGCATTAAACCATAGCGGCTTGGAAAAAGATGACTTGCAGTCAACTTTGTTGGAAGGCCATAAAATTGTTCGGCCTGAACTTGATCTCTCTGCTATTAATGGTAAGCTTCAGATTTGTTTTTCTTTTAATAATGTTGCTTAAATCAAAAACCACACGGTTTCATATGATGATGATGCTTAGCATTCTTCATCTGAAGATTCTTTGAAGATCTTATGGTAAGTATTGTTGTTTTCTTCTTCTGTGATTTCTCCCCCACCCCCCAATCAAATAGAGGTTTCGGGTTAAATATTTAAAGGTGACGTCTAGTTGTTTTGCTGCCCTGCGTTTTTGTCTTTAAGGCCCAGGTCTTTAGAGGTATTGGGAACTAAAAATCCTTTCCTTTTAAATAACTAAATGGATCTTGGGTTCTCAGCCTTTTGAAAATTGGACCTTGAGGTATCTATGAAGTCAGGCATCTAAATTTACAGTAGACTTGAAAAGCTGCCACAACCATGTCAAGTAAACGCTAAAAACAATCAAAGAAAGTACTTTATTTACAGTGAATAAAATCGCATTGACTGTCTGTCTTTCTCTCTTTCTCCCCCCACCCCTTGTGATTTAGACAAATGCCTTGTCAGAAAGACTTCTACTTCAAAGTCCATCTGTGGAGTGGATCCAAGGACACGGAAAAAGGAGCAAAACCTAGTAAGTGATATTGTTTAGTGTTCATAGCCCCATTTACAGGGCTGTTTGCTTGATTGTTGAATTTGATAGCGTAGGTTAAGACTTTCAGAGAAAACTAAAAGCTGTGCAGGCATGAGCTGTGTGGTAACAAGTTCTTCTGTTGTATGATGTTAGTAGTACGCAGGATTAATTGGAAAAGGTGTTAAAAATATGCTCCCTTTAGATTCCAAGAAGATCAATACAACTGACCTGTCTTCAGCAAAGCAGTTAATATAGTATGAGTTAAAGACCTGCTCTAATGCCTTTGGACCAGGGGTAGGCAAAATACAGGCCATGGGCTGGATCCAGCCCACCAAGGAATTTTATCCAGCCCACAACAGGTCCCTTGGCCCCACCTGGCCCAGGGGGAAGCAGCTCAAGCCGTGGCACATGTGGCTAGTTGTGCTGCCCCTGGATGCACAGCAGAGCTGGGGCAGTGCAGCAGCCAGACTCCGCTTCCCAACAGCAGTGGTTTCTTCTGGCTGCTACTGCCAGTGTCACCGCTACTGCTGGACCTGGCCCTGCTGCCCAGGCACTCTGGCCCATCTGCCAGGGCTGGGATGGCAGGCCAGTGACAGTGTGGGGGCAGTATCACGAACTACTGCAGCGGGCGTCAGTTTTATGGGCTGTGGTGTGTGCGGAGCAGATTGTGCCAGCAGCGTCTGCAGGAGCTCTGTGCTTGCTTCCGTCATGCCGCCACCAGCACAGCCATGCCCCGGCCCCCCCCCCCCCCCCCCTACTGCTGGGGGGTACATGCTGTTCATGAACTCAGATGACATATTTGCGGATTTCCCCATTTGCAGGGATCTCTAGAATGTATCCCTCGCACATGGCAAGGGTCTCCTGTACTATCATCCACTTGAGGCTGAGATTAGCCTGTTATATAGAAGAAGACTGAAAACACTAGGACACTTCTGCTTGGAAAAGAGGTGATTGAGGGGAGCAGGAATATGACAGAGGACTGTAAAATCATAAATCGTCGGGCAAGTGAATATTGTACAATTATCCGCTGTGTCTTTGTACAAGAGCTAGGGGACATTCTGTCAAATTAATCGGGTAGCAGTTGTATGCAAACTACTTCCTTTCCTTGGTTTTTGCAGTACAGTTAACTTGTACAGCTTGTTGCCTTAGGGCACGGTAGAGGCTAGTATTATAACCAAGTTAAAAAGGGATTAGACGTATATTTTATGGAGTATTAGCTCTCTGGAGGGTCTACAACAGTGGGGAATGCTATCTCAGGTTCAAAATATCCCTAAACCCATGAACGACGCGTGCCCTCGGCATCGGGCGGGGGGGTGGGGCACAGCAGCAGTGGGAGCACGGCAGCGGTAAGCGCAGAGTTCCTACAGATACTGTCAGCGGTGGGGGGGTGGCGAGCAGCGACTGCCCACAGGAGGTATAGGGGGTGCACCACCACACTGAGGGGGTGCACGTGTACTCGCGTGCACCCCCCATGCGTTGCCCCTGCTTAAACCTATGACATGGTAACTGGGAGGGTGTGGTAGAGCTTGGATTGCCCTACGCATGGCCCCTTTCTTATACTTTTTTTCTCTAAAACATCTACTAATTGTTATTTTTGTATACAGGATACTGGGCCAGGTAAATCTTTGATCTGACCCAGCATGGCAGTCCTTATTAGAGATGTTTATATTCATTTCTAAAAATGTGCTACCATTGATTAAATATTTCATTTCCTTAAGAAACTCTCTGATCCTGATGATGCGATTAGGATGCAGGAATCTCAGGCCCTGCTGTTAACTTACTCACGGATAAGGGTAAGTCAGGTAGTGGGTTTCAGTTCTACAAAGAGCATGGCAAATGGTGTAATTTTTTTCTGTTCTTTGAAAACTAGGTCTATACTTCTGTTGAATTCTTGGATTCTCTTCAGAAATTTCAGATTACAGTTTAGATTAGGACTACTTACAGACAAAGGGTAACATGCTAGGATGGGAGGACAAATGATTTGGCAATATGATTATGCAGTTGAGAGTAGTGACATTCACAGCTTGATGGGGAAAGAGTTAATATTATTTTGAGAAGGATGGTAAGGATTTAAGCCTCAAAATGTGTTTTGGGGAGAACTTTGTGTAGTTAAGCACAAGATACCCAGGGATACAGGTTTACATAAAAGCTGTCCCAGTTGGCAAAGCAGATGAAGGGTGTGGTACAGTTTTTAGCATGGATGGAGTAGAGTGACAAAATGGTGAGTTAAGAGACTAGTATAGTCTAAGTTGTTCAGGGACCTAATGACCTAAGTCAGTGGTGGCCAAACCCTTTTGGCAAGCATATAAATTAAATACAAAGTATGAGATAGTGCCAGTAATAATCAGCTGCTGCTGTCACCCCCTTTAAGTCGGGGCCCAGACCTCTCATGACAAATGCACCAGCTGTCTGTACCACTTGTGGCATGAGGTGTGGGTTGGCCACCACTGATGTACTTGATGTGATGCAGAAAATAGAGCATGCCAATTTAGAGTCAAGTAGAAAATGGAACTCATCAGAGGGGTGAAGCAACATTTGCGGCTTCTCTCATCCGCAAATTCCAACTTCATACTTGGTCTGTAGGCCCTGACAAATTCCTGAGTTTGCCATTTACTGTCTACAGTCCATCTGACTTCAAGCAGCTTTAGTGAGCATAGAGGTGGCTGTTAGCAAGAAAATTTATTTGCAAGATGCAGTAACATTTTTATTTTTGTAAATGTAGCATACCAAGAACTTGCTCCACATGGGTTAATTTGCATTTGTCTAAGGTCCATGTTCCAAAACATTTTAAAAGCACTTAATAGTTTAAATATTTGTTATAAACACATTATTGGATTTAATAGATAGAGAAAAATCTTGCCCAGTTGGAGGAGAAAGCTGAAAGAAACCTAATAAGATTGTGTGAAGAAAAGAAAAGACAGCAGAAAGAACTGTATGAATTGAAACGTAAGCTCCTGCTTAAGGAGAGAGAGCAGCAGCTTGATGAAATACTAGATAAACAGGTAAGACAGTTATACTTTGTGATTCCCTGGCAGTTTACAGGTACTCCAACAAGACACATTCCTGAGACGGTTATCTGCCTCTAGGTGTGTAGGGTGTTCTGTACCTCAAACAAAAAAAAATCCGATTCTGATTTCTTTTGTGACACTTCATGTTTCTCCAGTAATGGTAAAAGAGGTAGAATGTTTCTGTCACCTCTTGTGGCCCGTGGTTTAGAGGGCAAAAGAGGAGTCAGAATTCCTGTTGGGGAGAGTATTGGTGCACTGGTCCCCAGAGTAGCCTACAGTCTGTCATACATGTAAGTAGTTTAAAACTGTATGAACATCATCCTCGGATGCTGTTTCCTGTAGCACAATCTAGAATGTGTGCTGAAACTCAGGTATGAAGGCTACAAGGGGACACCGATAGCCTCCTGGGCTGGGCCAGTTGTTTGTCTCCGTGGCCTGTCTTCTTTTGGGGCATTGGGTTGACATCCCACTGGATACTGAAATGCTGAAAGAGAAAGTAGGAGTTCCAGCTTGGCACTGGCAGTACGGGAAGTATGCTTTCAATAGGAAGAGGTGCTAAACAGAGATCTTGGTAAACTGAGTTTCAGCTTCTTGTCCAGCCTTCTCCATTAGCTTTGTTGTACTAAATGATTTGTCTTACCAGTGCTGTTCATTCTAAAATCTAAAGTGAAGTCCTTATGCTGGCTTTTCTTAATATTGCAAAAACTGAAATGGTAAACCACAAAGATCTCTCCTTACTAGAAAGAGATGCTATTAGTTGAAATTAAAGAGCAAAAAATATTTTGTTTGCCACTTAGGAAGTACTTCTAAACAAGGATATTCCAACAGGAGAGGAGAACGTATTAAATGGGGGATATGAATGGGCACCATAGAATTTGCTGAGTTCTTTCAGAGTGCTTTCCAGTTGATTGGGTATATTTTTGTTTGTTTTCTTGTTGGTTTGGGTTTTTTTTGTTTCATTATTAAAAGAAAAGGAAACCAGAAAAAGACAGCAATACGTTTCATCCTTTAAGGCAAGCCAGATAAGGAAGCACATGGAGAGTGTTTCTTTGCGTTGAAGTGCTGACTTGTGTGTACCTTTTGTTTTCAGAATGAAGTACTTGCTCCTCTTGCTGCTGTCTGTCAACATTTTGCAGAGGACTTTAAAATCTTTGCCACGGCCCTGGATGCCACTAGACATGAGCTGCCTGTGAGGAATATTTATGTGGAAGGGAATAGATACAAATATTTGGGTATGAAAACTAGCAAATTTGTTTTTCGGTATATTGGACTACCTGTGTACTTCTGTAGTAGACACTTAAGTTGTCTTATGTTAAATTCATGCAGTTAGTTGCTTTTGTCCTTTGCCCCTGAGTTTGTCACCCCTGTAGTTGTCCCAGGTTTTACTGGGGCTACCAACTATCTCTGTTTTAATTAATATGCAGTAGCTTCCTAACTTATTCTGTTTAGATAAAAAGAGATTCTACTTCATTGCTTTTAGACCCCCTTAGTTTCTCTCTCCTGGAAACAAACTTCATTGTTTGGTGTGTCCGTCTGTCCCCACTTCATTCTTTCAAAGAATTATCAAGAAGTTCTGGTTCTTGTAGTTTGTCACAATTAAGCTTTGTTTTCTTTCCAGAAACTTATTTACTTATTTGTCATCTTTCTGCTTTGCTGAAGCTATAAGGAAGTCTTAAATGCTTTTCAAAAATAAGAATGCTGCAATGTCTTTCATACTATAAGTTTATTCAAGGAACTTCTTGAATTTTTCATTGTTTGGCTCATGTCTAGGCATCAAAATAATTCATGTCATGATAAATTGCTGTATTTCTAGTTAGCTTCTTTGTTAGCTCTGCATAAAGGACAGTTCAGTAATTCAAGAGAGCATAGCCTGTTTCTGAAATTGGATTTTAGAGGGTTCAAATATTGTCTTTTTCTGTTAAATTAAGTAAACTAAATAGTGCTTTAAGTTCCTAATCTCTCAAAAGTAATTACAAAAAAAATCTTAAAAACCTGCTTCAGATTTTAGCTCCCAGTGGACTTGTGTGAGGCTTAACACGACACTTGCAACATGGGATAAAATTGCTACTCTTTTCTCAACGATAAAAGTATTATGCTGCCTCAGTTTGAGACCTGATATAGACTGGCTTAGAAAGGAAATGTTCCACATCAGGACTGAAGTGCTTTGGCAGGATTTTTTAAGAGTCTGCTTTTTATATGTTCATGCTGGTCCAAAATAATAGTACTGGTTCCTTAATTTCATGAGTACTAATCTTACTCACAGTTTAACACAAGATAAGAAAAGGTAAATGAACTTAAACTCTTGCATGACAGATTTTGGAATGAACAAATATAACTTGCTTTTCTGGGTTTATTGATAACATAATACTGTTGCCAATAGCAACATATGCAACTAGCTGTAGACTTTTTAGTATCCAAATCTTTCACTTTCACGCCTGCAAAGTTTAATTTTTCAAATAAAAACTTATTTCATATCTGACTGTCCCCTGCTGTGATTAATCTTCAAGCCAAAACAATTTTGTTTTCACAGGAGAATTATTTTCGTAGATTAATAGATTTGTAGATTGTTAGGGGCTGGAAGGGACCTTGCAGATCATTGGGTCCAGGCCCCCCGCTTTAGGCAGGAAGACACATGGGGTCAAGTGACCCCAGCAAGGTGACTGTCCATTCTCCTCTTGAAAACCTCCAGGGTAGGTGACTGCACCACCTCTGGAGGGAATTTATTCCATGGTCTGGACACCCTGACTGTGAAGGAGTTTTTCCTGGTATTAAGCCTGGAGCGGCCTGCCAGGAGTTTGTAAGCATTGGTCCTGGTCTTCGCCACGGGTGCTTTTGTTGTGCTTGTGATGGTATACATATCATGCTCTAATGTTCAAATAATTTTTTTTTGTTCAGTTTCCTTGTTTGTTTGGAGCCCCCCTGTGTTGTTGGTACTGAGTTTCTGTTGGCTTTTTTAAACGGGATATCAACATGTAAGCACAGCATCATAATGACTGTGACTTTTCACTTTTGTAGATGAATTACAAAAGCATTTAGCCATCACGCAAAATCTTTTGGCCGAAGTTGTAACTGACTACTCGGAAGAAAATTCAAAGGCATTCAGCCTACTGAAAGAGCTTAAGGAATTGTCTCTGAAAATGGATGAAGAGCTTCAAAGGTACGTTGATAAGCTAACTAAAAAGATTCCCCAGTTTTATAATGAGTTTTGGAATCTTGGCAGCATTCAGCTGGAAAATCTGTAGGTCTTATAACTTAAGGTTATCAGTACATGAAGCAGTAAATGCACCTAGGGTTTGGTCTTCTGCTTCTGCTTGTAAATAACCAGGAATAAGGTCAAGCGGCTCAATTTCTTCCCCTCTCTTTTAGGGCAGGAAACTTTTTATGGATACATTTTCTGAGGGCAATCACATGTATGATAATGAGGGAAAGCCTTTTTTTCTGAAAAGGCCAGCAAGATCACATCCTCTAATTCTTCCACCAAATATATGAACAAGGTGTAACAGCACTAGTAACATTACTAAAGGCCAGGACAATGGCAGTTACCAGGAATGTGAGGTGTAAGGTCTCCAAGACCAGAAACATGGAGAAACCAGGCTTTTGCATGCTTGTTCTTCCATGTAGATTTGCAGAGAGGGCTGAAGTAACCTACTTTACCCCTCTTGTGCATCACGCAGCATTGCTAGGGAGGTGCAAAGAACTTGGACCCACTTCTTTCCCTTACTGTTGGATGAATCTTACAGTACAAAGTGTGGTTCTCCATGTATAGGTCGTCTTCTGCTGAGTTGGAGAAATATAATTTTCTGCATTCATTGCTTTAGTATGTACAATTTGTTTACAGGAGTTTCATCCAAGTGCAGGACCTGTCGTTTGAAGTTAGTAAAGAAGTGTCTCTGCGTAATCAGAAAGAGTGTGAAGAGACCTACGGCATAGAAACCATGAAACGCTGGTATTTTGACCAAGCTTGCGAGTTCCCTGGTTAGTGACAAAATCAATGTGAGCAGCCTGGCCTTAGCACTTTTCTGCTTGTTTGAGCATCTGATGTGAGTGCATTTCCTCAGTCATGCGAAGGTGAGAGTTACAGTACATACAACTAAACTAGTATAGAATGTGGAGTATTTATTGTCTTATGCTACCTTGCAAGGTTGTCTTTGATTTTTAGATCGAAATTCCTAACTAAGCTCCGCAACCCTTAAAGAAGCTTTCTTATCAGTAGCTGGCTTTAGAATCTTTGAAATATGTTGTAAATTCCGAATGCTGTTTTGGTCAAATGCAGCCTGCATATCCTTTGTTTTGCTCTTCTATTTTGACTCCTTGTGCACAATTTTAGCTGTTGCTGGCTTAAATCTGTTCCCAAACAGCTGAGCTTAGCTTCCATTTGATGTGATGGCACCTGTGGGACCAAATGTGGATGGAAGTGTTGCACTGTTGTTGGGTATCTCTCCTGCTGACTAATGCCATGATTATACTATGAGCACTGGTCGCTCCATAAGGAGCTACAGCAAGAAGTATCATCATCCTCTTACTTCAACGAGAAAAAGAAAAGTCCGTAGAAGTGGCAATTTCTGTCATCACCTAAATTAAAAAAGGTTGGAACAGGAGGAACTGATTGTCTGTAGCAATAAAGTCATACACATGATTAAAATCTGTACAAACACTTGTATTTGGTTAACAAGTTCTGTTTTGAAGAAGATGAGATATATTTTACAAATAAAGACTTCTTTGCACTACACTGTTCCTGGTAGTCTGTATGAATGTCTTGGGCTTATCATGTAAGGTTTCTCCATTTCTGCTAGAGCCTTGTGTAGGCTGGTGGATGAATTCCCCAAACCTAAAATAAATTTAAAATGTTTGAACTTTTTTTAATAATGTCCTATCTCCCTCTATCTCTGCTGTCTACAAATGTTCTGTAACTGAAGCAAGGTACTTCATATGCCCTGTATGGGAAGTCCAGCCTCTGAAAGCTAGTTCAGAAGCAGTGTCTAACATTGTCTTTGTTCAGCTCTTTTTGGTAGGCACAACCTGTACCATAGGGACTGGCCAAGAGACCATGAGTGCACACTGGGCACTGTTATATCAAGTTAATAAAAACTGCAGTGAGTCCAGCTACTTGGGGGAAGGCAGTAGCAATCTGCAGCCCTCTGGACAGCTCTAACTGGCACTGAGGCATACAGTTTTCAGTTGCCAGCAAGAGCTAGAACTCTTGAAAAATTAGTGAGACCTGTTCTAGGACCCACTTTCAGAAACCCTGCTGCAGTGAACTGCCATTTGCAAAAGCCCTTCTGCCCTTCCAAGCAGGCTGGGACTAACTGCATGGCCTGAAACCCTAGGGACAGATGTTCAGGAGCCTGATGTGTGCTGCTCATTGCCCTACCCTGTTGTCTTAATTGAGCACCTGTCTTTAACCCACGTTATGGTTGGTACCAGTGACTGTCTCCTTTGCCTGTAATCCTGCGTGTAGGGACAGATAGGGAAGCAGGGCCATAGGAAATATCTGGGTAGAAGTGTGCTGTGTCCAGGTACAGGGAGCTCATTCTTTTTGCTGTTTATCTACCATATGCAATATTCTCTGTTCTAAGCTTCAAGTCAAGTAAAATATAAAGACACTGCAATGATGCAGTTACTTTTAGTACGGACTGCTTTCTAATCCAACACTAAACTGTCTAGTTAGTCTATATTCTCTTTCTAACAGTCCAAACGCCTTAGAGGAACATTTGAGGAATGTCAGTCACCACGACCAGAGATGGGGTAGTTTTCCTCTTGTTGAAGTCTCATAATCAGAAATGGGTTGACTAATTAACCAACTTTAGATTTTCACCCGTGCGTCTGATTGTGCTGGGTTTATATCACAGCAGTAGTACCTGTGGACAGAACATCATTCTTTCTGTGAAAGGGCCGGAGTTGGACCTGTCCCTGTAGCAGTTGGCCCAGTTGGGAAAGATTGGATTAGTAAAGAGTTCCAGGTTCAGCTTGAAGTCGGAAGGAATAACAGGAAATCTGTTGATCCCTTTCTTATTTGGTTTAACAAGAGGAAATGCCCAAAGTGGTGGGGATTGCTGGATATGGGTAGTAAAATTTGAAGGAAGTTGGATGGGAGCAAATCTGATTATGTGCAACACAACTAACTGTGGTCACCAAAAAAGGGAGTCAAGTTGTTAACTTCTTTGAACGCTTGTTCTGCACTTCAGCACTCCATTTTTTTTAAATAGCAAGTTGGTAGGCAGTAGAAGTATGGTTTTGGTTGGGGGGGGGGGAGTATTTTGGTAACATATTCTATACACCTATTGACTAGACAAATGCAATGCATTATGTACTAGATGGAAAGTCAACGTATAAAAGCCACTGAAAGTGTTCTTGTTTATAATTTTAATGAAAGAATAACTCTCTGGCATCTTCTCATTACTTCAAGGAATTCCTGTAGTGGAAGCACTTCAGACTCTTAATTTGGTACCACTTCAACATCCTACAATTTTTGTTGAACAATGAACAGCTCTCAGTTGTGAGATGCCTCATACTGCTCTCAGTAGACCAGTTTTTGGGTGGCTGCAGTCTGGATCATTTCAGTACTGATGCCTGTAACTCGCAAGAGGATCTTTGATTCTCATCTGCAGAAATGTTGAAGGATGTACCTGCAACATCCAACCACTGGATGGGGAACTTTGATAACTATCTGGGTCCAGTGTGTGGCCACAAGTTTGCAGGGCCATTGGCTAAATAACTGCTTCTGGTTTTTTGTATGGGTGGAGATTTGAATTGTCAAGTTCCTATGTAATGTAGCTATTGGTTTAACATTTGTTTTTTCCAAGGTTAGGGTAATTGCCATTCATATTTCCTTGTGCCCTTCACTGCTGCTCACCACAAACAAGTCTGTAAAGCACTAACTTTCCTTCAGAGTTAGAGATCTCTTTTAAACCTTGCTTGGGAAAAAATCATTTTTAGATTTCACAATTTTGTGGGTTCAGTGAGCCTAGAAAAGATGCAACTAATAATTTAACAGAACTGATATGTAACCCTAGGAAAAACAAGAGGCTAGTATGAATTATTCGTCTGTTTGGTTGGTCATTCAAGGGATTTATGGAATTAGTTTTGTTTGCTCAGTCAAGTGTTTTCTGTTTTCTTTGAAAGGCTGTGTTCAAATTTAAATTAATCGTGAGCCTTCGTTAAATTTTAGCTGATACATCATAGTAACTTAATTTCCACAACAGACTTTGAAGATTTACAAAAAGATTTGTGATCATGCATTTACATGCTAGTTCATCATGGCCTTTGACTAGCTGGAGACTGGGTCAACCTCCTGGATGATGCCTTCTAAGTGGAAATGTACCCACATACATGTCAGTGATTCAAAGCCGTACTGTTCAGATGGAAACTTTTCTTAACAAGCTTAATTATATACAGTGGTTTCAGTACGTGCTAGGTAAAGGCTCCTATTCTTTGCAGTATCAGAGGTTGGGAGAGTTAGTTAGGAAGCAAACTTTGAAGAAGACTCTTATGAAAGGATGCTCAGAGGATACCGCTGTTCTGATCTAGTTTAATCAATTCTTATCTTTCTGAGAAACAGCTCTGGTGGTTGGGGTGGTCGCTATCCTATAGGTAGTAGCACAGTTCTGCTTTGAATTAGGCTTTACAAAAACATTTTTGTCCCTCAAATCCAGACTGTACAGTGAATGAGAAAAGAGAACACACAGTTCTACCAGCAGGTACTTTTAGACAGGCTAAATAAGGCTCTTAACTTGTTTTGTCAACAGGAAATGTAACAAGCATTCATTCAAGGAATGGGGGCTAGCTGCATTGGAGAAAATCAGTCTAGAACGGGTGAGGGCCTACCTCTGTGTTCAGAATCAGACTGAGGAAGCTTATCCTGCATAGCTCTTCAGGTCTATGCCATTATGCGATATGTCACTTTTCAACAGGGAATAGAATGTGATTACTTTATTGCATAAATACATCTAGTTAGACCATTATGTTTAATCTAGGTCAGCTAAATTGCTGTGATTTGATTCCCAGCATGAAAACACAGAGCTCCAAACCTGATACTCAAAAGCAGCGAGACAGATTAAAAGCAGAGGGTCATATTTCAAAAGGGGGTTGTTGCTGGCATGGGAGATAAAGGAAACAGTTTGTCCTGAAAATCTTGTGCTATTAACCCTTCCAAGTCTAAAAGGGAATAAATAGAACTAGCAGGAAATTTAAGAGAGTGGTATGCAGGAGTAGGATTTTATAAGCACAGCCGTCCCAGATCCATGATTTTGTTTGAAACCTAGAAAGGAATGATCTAACTTTTTTTTTCTTTCAAAATGAGGTGAGGAGAAGGTAGCTATATTGATGTTTTGGGATTTTATGGAAGAAGTGAATCTTGAGAGAGTTTGAAAATAATATTTCATAGATGTCATAGACATCAGGGCTGGAAGGGACCTCGGAAGATCGAGTCCAGCCCCCTGCCCAAAGGGCAGGAAGTCAGCTGGGGTCATAGGATCCCAGCAAGATAAGCATCCAGTTTGCTCTTGAAGGTGTTCAATGTAGGCGCTTGAACCACCTCCGGCGGCAGGCTGTTCCAGACCTTGGGGGCTCGGACAGGAAAGAAATTCTTCCTTATGTCCAGCCTGAAACAGTCTTGTAGTAGTTTCTGACCGTTCGACCTAGTCGTCATCCCTTGGGGCGCTCTGGTGAACAAACGTTCCCCCAGATACTGGTGGTCACCCCTGATAAACTTATAGGTGGCCACCAGATCACCCCTGAGCCTGCGCTTTTCTAGGCTAAAGAGCCCCAGGGCTCTCAGCCGGCCCTCGTAGGGTCTGCTTCCCTGACCTCTGATCATGCGCGTGGCTCTTCTCTGCACTCTCTCAAGCTTCTCCACATCCTTTTTGAATTGTGGAGCCCAAAACTGGACGCAGTACTCCAGCTGCGGCCTCACCAAGGCCGAGTACAAGGGGAGAATGACGTCCTGGGATTTGCTTGAGAAGCGTCTATGGATGCAAGCCAGCGTTTTGGTCGCTTTACTAACTGCAGCATCGCATTGCAGGGTCATGTTCATCTTCATTTTGAGCTAATGATATTACATGGCTACCAAAAACTTTATCTTTTGGCTTGAGATAAATAGATTTGAGGCTGAAACTTATCAAAGGTTAAAAAAAATTAAAAATTGCATGGGTTCAGAGGTGAATTTTGATCGTGAAAATGCTGCTCCTAGCTGAGAGTGTATAGAAAACCAATTATCTTGTTTTGTTGCATGCTGTGGCCTAAGTGCACCAGCTCAAAATTGCTGTACAAGACCAAAGCGTTGGTGTTCTGTTTGCTTTGTAAAGTATATTTATATCTTGGCTTCTCTTTGAACCTGTGAACCCAAAATTTGATCCAGCAAGCAGCAGTCTTAAAATGCAAATAATGGAGAAGAGTGAAGTTGGCCGCATTCTACTTTTAGGAGCACACTGATCCAGTTTTCTTTTAGGGTATTCCTTCTGGATAGGATTGTCTCTTAAATGAATGTCTCAATGCAGTGCTACACTGAATCTTTTTGAAGTTAAGATTCCCTATGCAAAATACTTGTGTGCAATTAAATACAATTCCTTCCATGTGCTTAAAAGGGCAGAGATCACTGGAAAATGGAAAACAAGTAGTTGGGCACCTCTGTGCCATAACCATTTTTATATTTAAGTGCAGTTCTCTCTCAGAGGTGTTTGGTTGCATCATTGTATACCCCACAATCTCTAATGCCATAGAAATGTGCCTG